AACACATGTGAACACTCCCCTAGCTAACTTTTCATAAAAATGTCACCAGGGCATTGGGGAATTTTCAGTCAGAACAAAATTTATAATCATAATCAGAGCTGATATTCTTTGAGTGTGTTGTATATTAACTAATTTAATCCCCACAACAGTCCCGCATGTGGTAATTATAATTCCCATTTTAAAGGTAGAAAGGGAGACACAGAAATGTTAAGTACCTTATCAAAATTTATACAGCTAATTAGTGTCATTGCTAGGATATGAAGGTAGGCAATTGGGCTCCACAGTCCATACATCTAACTACTACATGGTGAAGATAAAAAAATAGAATCTCTCTCTGACCTTGTCAAGCTTTTGGACATTAATATTCTTTACAGAATGGGGGTCAGACCCACTCTAAAGACTACCAGACTTTTCTATCTGGTCCACCCGTGGGCATTCTTGGATTTAATTATTTTCTTGTGCAGTCCCAAAGGGTTACGTCATGAAGCAATCTGTAACTTTTCTGGGACACAAATGTGAATGACAAAAGCTGTGCAAAGCTTGTCCACCAGAATAGGACACTTGGCTGGTACGAGGAGGGAGGCCAGTGAAGGAACAGCATCTATATGAACACATAGCTATATTTTCCTCTTCCTATCTTTAAGCATATAGGAATTCCAATGGAAGGGTGTGCCGTGGTGGTATTCCCCAACTTGGAACTTGCGAAGGTTTTAAGCTGTAGCTCTAGAAAAGTGTCAAGGACCTTCTCCATGCTCCTAGCTGACATCCTCTTATGTGGGCACCTGAATTAAAAATCTTAACATAATTAAGGAAAACCAGGGAATGTGTGCATTTAAACGTATCAGCTTTCTTTACTTACAGGGAGATAATACGTAACATTGTTTATGAAAAGAAAAAAATCATACAACTATTTTAAGAGATAAGTCACTATGGTAACCATTTCTCTGCTTCAATTTAGATAGACAATGCCTTCTGCCACTGGAAGATTCTCTCAGCTTTTAGCCACAGATATGTATTATTTTCTCTTGGGCTTTCTTTTGTCTTATACTAAATAAGTCTTCGTGTTACCTTACTTAATGGAAAATCTTGTTATTCTATAGACTAACTCATTGCATATTTCATCATTAAATGGAAATTTTATGGGTTGGAGCACCCTCAAAGACAAAAATAATGATGACATATCTCATCCAGAGTGTTAACAGAAGGTCATACACAGCTTGAAACCTTTGGGTGCTTCTTTAGTCAATGATTACAAATACTTATAATTTTTTTTCCTAGAAAATCATTTCCTGGATTAATATAAGAAAGTTAATACATATAACACTGTATTTTGCACCATGACAACTTTGTACCCACACTATTTTCTTAACATATTATTGAGACATCTCCTTTCTGCTCTCCCATTAAGTTATGCACGTACTATATATTTAAAAAAGGCATCTTTCCCAATCAGTGGCAAATATTTTCCGTATTTCCTGCAAACAGGAAAGATGATACATTGTGTTCTGTTTTAACAATACTTTCCCAATCTCATTTAGCCCCATTAGTGCTTGCTGCAATAAAAAGAGAACCACAATTTCAGAACAATAATTGCAGTAATAATAGCTATCACTCATTAAGCACTTGCTATGTACTAGACCCTGTTCTAAAACTTCACGTAAGTTCTAGATTTACAAATTTAGCATAACCAAGGAAAGCCAGAGATCGTGTTCATTTATTTTAAAGATTTTATTTATTATCTGAAAGACAGAGAGTGCAAGTGGGGTGGGGTTGGGAAGGTTGCAGAAGGAGTGGGAGAGAGAATCTGAAGCAGATCTGTGCTCAGCATGGAGCCAGATCCCATGACCCTAAGATCTTGACCTGAGCCAAAGCCAAGAGTCAAATGCTTACTTGACTGATCCACCCAGATGCCCCAATAGTATGCATTTAAAGATCTCAGATTTCCTTATAAAAAAGAGATCATATTTAGCATTGATTATAATGGTTTCTCTTTTAATCTCACAACAACCCATGAGCTTGCTAAGGGACTTCCATGTCCTATAAATCCTCCCTGCATCCATTGTACAGATTAAGAAACCCAGTCATTTTTCCTCTGATGTCATAGTTTGTGAGATGAAATAAGCAGTGCCCTGGATATAAATGTATTAATAAGACATGAAGAACAATGGCTCATACTGGATAAAGAGAGAAAATTAGCTGGGAAAGCATATAATAAATATTCAACATTCCAAGTCATGAATGCACAGATCTGAGTATTTCCTAGAACAATGTATTAAAGCATCATATTTGTTTTTCATTTTTTGTAATATCCCTGGTATTCTGAATTTATACCTTATGTAAGCAATGACATTACAAATGCTATATTTAGACAGGAGGGAGGCATGGAACTTTAATATTTGTATACACATCAGATGAACATACTGTTGCCACATGTTACCACTATTTTTCTTTTTTAGGTAGATGAGTAAATCATAGTAATAAAAAAGCACGCTTAAGTCAAAGGCCTCACTTCTGATCTTGGTAGATTGCTATATTACATTGGTTTATGAAAAGCAATCAAATTATTTAACCAATTAGACTTTCTCTCCATATTCAACTATTGTTTCCATTGAGTACCCTCACAAACTATTTTTACACTATGAGAGAGGACATAACAAAGCAGCAGTGAAACGTACTCCAGCAGTACTTCATTAAACACCCGAGGTACACCAATGTGAACCATCAGTTATAATTAACTGTATCCACAGCATGGAAAAATTAATAGGTTAAGTGTGTCATTAATAGGTTAAGTTGTCATAGTCATGACAAGACTATGGTGGCACTTAGTTTTTCCAAATTCTGCCCTGTGATTCATTTTTAAAAATCAGGTCTGTTTGTTTAAGCCTGCAGAGATGCAAACTGGTGACAGAAAGGATTTTTTTTTTTTACCCTTTAAAAAAGCAGATGAGAAAGGACAATCCACAATTATCCCAAGTACGTGTGCCACATTAATCATTCCTTCGCCTATAATTCCCCAAAGCTAGGCCCATTCAGCCGAAAAGAGTATCATTCAGTCTTTCATACATAGGTAAATTATTTTCTGCAGTAAAATCCCGAAGGGCTTCGCAAAATTTCAGTTAGTCGGGTGAGCCAAGAGTACCTGCTACGTTGTAGAAGGCCCAATAATCTCTCTGGCCCTTTGGGAGTATTTAGTTTATGTGTTTTGCCTAAATACCCTATGGGAAATGAAATGGGTAATTTCTTCATTTCACTGGTGTAGGTTCAGACCAGTCATTATATTAATCCTAATAACCGTCCTTGGAGGCAGACAAGCAGTGGCTTCATTAATATTGCCACCCAGATAAGGAAAGGGCTCTGCCACTTGCCCCCCCCCTCACCCCCCCCACCCCACCCACCGCAGCCAGCTGCCCTGGGAGACAGGAACAGGGGCTCATCTATTGGTCCTGAACATACTACCCGCTGAAACTTCTTTTTAATCGGCTTAAATGGGCTTGTTTATTCCCCCACTTTTCTGTTATTGAAATAGAAGTGGAAATCTGCCTTCAAAGACCAGCCTATCAGCATCTCCCTCCTCGGCTGGCCTGACCTTCAGGCAGTGCAGCTGCCTGAGTCGAGTTAAAAATGGACTGTCAAGCTGGCTTTAATTTCTGCTGCGCTGCCTCCCCACGTCCTCCCACTGATCTGTTTATCACACTCGCCTTGCCCCTTCTGTTGTTGTTTTTCTCGCTGTGAGTCTCTAGCCTGGACAGCTGAGACCGCCTTTCAAGGCCCTAACCTACAGATCCTCGGCACAGCGTCCTGACACGGCGGGCGGGCGCCGACGCGGGGACCCCCTACTTGGGGAAGGAGTCCCCCCCCCGCCCCCCAGCCCGGGCGTCCGCTCCCTTTCCGCTCCTGACTCCTCCACCTTCTCGCGGAGTGACCGCTCTGAGCAGATCATCTCCCCCTGCGCATCAGAGCAGGAAAAGAGGCGCTTTAGTGACTCTGGGAGAAAACCCAGTGTTTGGCCTCCAGCTTAAACGGGGCGGGCGCGCAGGCCGAGTCTTGGCCCAGGGCTCCTGTCTCCCTGGGCGCTGGGTCCCGAGGCGCGCATCCGGCCTCACGGGCATCGTTCCCGGCACGTTCTGAAACTCGGTACCTTCTCCGCCCCAAGCCCCTCCAAGACCCCGTCCCCCGCCCCACCCCCCAGGGCTCCCCAGAAACGTCCGCCTCTGGGAAGGACAACTGCGCCCCGCCATCAGGTCCACTAAAGGTTTTGCTGAGCTTCTGGCAGACGCCCCTTGGTTCGGGCGCTGCGGAGCCAGGTCACTGCGAGGGCACCGGCTCGCCCTTCTCGCCGAGAGCGCGCGCGCGTCGTGGTGGAACGGCCGGGAGGGCGGGTGCGGGCAGTGCCGCGGGAGGCCGAGACCCTGCCCCAAAGGCTGGGGAGCCCCGGGGCGGAGAAGGCGAGCTGGACGTGACCGCGGCAGCAGGGGAGCCGACAACCCCCGGGGAGGCAGAGCCAAGTGCGCCAGTGATGCTCCCTGAACGCCCGAGCGGGCATCAGCAAAGTGGCCGCGTGACCCCGCGGAGCCTCAGGTCCCCGTAACAGGCAAAGGACCGTTAGCCTCCCGGGGCCCGAAACAGAACCCTGACCAGCGCACCAGCAGCGCGGGGTGGGGGGCGCGGGCGCGGGGCGGGGGGCGGGGGGGCGCGCCGAGGAAGCCAAGTCCGCGGCGGGGGCCAGGGGCCCGGCGAGTCGTGCCCCCGGATTGCGGACGCGGGGACCTGGGGCCCACCCAAGGAGCCGGCAGGTGTCTACCCCGCCGCAAGCCTGTCCCCAGCTGGCAGCGGCCGCCCTGGGGCCGCGGCGAGGGTCCGGCCGGCACTGCAACCCGACCCCGGGGAGGCGGGGCGCGGGGCGGCGGGGGGTGGTGCAGGTGGGCGGGCCGCGGCGGGGAGGGGGCCGGGCCTATAAAGTGCTCCCGGCCCCGCGAGCGATGCTGCTCGGTGGAGCGGGCGCTGCGTGGGCTGCGGGGTCCGTCGCTGCGGAGCCTCGGAGGGAGGGGGCACCTGGCAAGACTTCCTGCCTCCGTTTACCCCGCCGCTTCGCCAGCGAGCGCGCCTGGCCCGGCGACCTCCCGGCAGGTGAGCGAGGCAGCGGCCTCGAGGGACGGAGCAGGGGCGGAGGGCGCCGTGCGCCCGCGCAGGGGTGCGCCCCGCGGGGCCCGTCCGCTCCGAGGTTTGCTAACTTTGAACGAGTTTTCGGTTGCGACCGTGGCTGGCGTCTGCACTCGCGGGGCTCTGTACACTAGGGCTGCGGAGGCCGGCTCCTCCCCTTGGAAAGTGACTCCCCGGCTAGCCCGCTCCCCGGACGCTGGGCGGTTTGGAAGCCTCCGCACGTCTCGCCTGCTTCTGCAACAAATCTGCCCCTCTTCCCTTCCTCTTGCAGCGCCCCGGAAAGGCCGTTCCGCCCCGCGAGGGAAACAGAGCCGTTGACCATGGTGGCAACTGGCAGTTTGAGCAGTAAGAACTCGGCCAACATTGCAGAGTTGCTGGACCATGGCTTCCACCCGGGGAGCCTGCTAAACGGTGAGCTGCCTGCCCGGCTGCCCGCCTCCCTCTCCTCCAAAGGTCGCAGCTCCTGAATAGAGGAGATGGGCGGCCCGGCCCCGGCCGTGTTGCCTCCTTCCTTGATGCGGGTAGGGTGTGCCACAAAATACATCTGAAAAACACTCCTTTCCAAACTTTCTAGCATCTTCCGTTCATGGTAGTGAGAAACAAAAGTAGCAAAAAAAAATGAAATAACCGAAGGCTGTATGGCATACTTGGCAGCTAAGATGGTGTTTGGGTTTAAAAGTTATATAGGTTCCTTATGGGGTTGTGAAGTCACGGGGAACTTTAACTTTACAGTTTTGTGTTTTAACACATGCATTCACCCTTATAACCACTGCCATCATCCCCCCCCCACCAATGCCCATGTCCCCATTGGCCATCGATTCTCACTCTCCTCCTGTGTCCCCAGGAAAACACCAATCTGCTTTTTGTCACCATAAGTTAGCTTTGCCTCTGCAGTTTCATACAAGTGGGATCATGTAATACGTACTCTTTGGCATCTTATTTCTTTGCCGCAGCCTAATGATTCTGAGATCCTTTAATGTGGTTGCTTACATTAGTGTGTGTTCCTTTTTATTGCTGAGTAGTATTCTATTTGTGGATATATTCCTTCTTCTGTTTTTAATACCAGAAGGAAATTTTGAAACAGCAGTGATGCTGGACATATTTTCATTTGCAAATTTAAATAACAGTTTCTAGCTTAGCACACTGCTCTGCCACTAAGGAGCTATGTGCCATAGAAAAATTGCTTAAGATCTTTGGGCCTTCCTCATTTAGAAGGCAAAGTGGTTGATGATCAAATTTTATAGGTCAAAGCTCTAAAATTCTCTGTCTTCAATATAGGTAAAATATGGAACCCTATAATGTGGACCACATTTTGTTTCATTTAGTTGTAAAAACAAAAACAATGACCTAACTGAATAGGTGATGTGGAGAGGGGAAGAGGCAGTAGCCAATGAAAGTGAAATATGCTTAGGGAGGGGTTGCACAGTTGACTGTGTGTGTGGTATGGCATCCTGCCAAGTGGTAGGATTAATTTGGAAGGTAGGTGACCAAATGCAGGGCTATCTCTTTTCCTTTGAGCAAATCTAATTTTATTTTCCTAGGACTGTTTTGTTTTGCTTGGCTACGAATACTACCCAGCCAGTTATAAATATCCTCAATGAACCTCAAAGGTCTTCCCTTTGAGCAATTTTTAATCAAAGAGGCTGAAGCTAAAATGGGATCTACAGACTATTTCAGTAGAGATTTTTAAAGAAAGACACAAATTCACTATTTAATATGACTCTTCAAGTTCATCTTAAGTTCATCAGTAGCAAAAATCCTGCATTTTATAATAACAAACACATATGATCTTAGAAAGTAACAGTTCCTTCATCAAAAAAAAAAAAACATATATATAACCATTTTTATTCCAGAAGTGATCCGCGTTCTTTCATCTCCAATTTTCTACAGATTTTGACTACTGGGATTACGTTGTTCCGGAACCCAACCTCAATGAGGTGATATTTGAGGAGACAACTTGCCAGAGTTTGGCTAAAATGCTGGAGAACTGTCTGTCCAAATCAAAGCAAACCAAGCTTGGTTGCTCAAAAGTCCTTGTCCCTGAGAAACTGACCCAGAGGATTGCTCAAGATGTCCTGCGACTCTCCTCCACCGAGCCCTGCGGCCTGCGAGGATGTGTTATGCACGTGAATTTGGAAATTGAAAACGTATGTAAAAAGCTGGATAAGATTGTGTGTGATTCTAGTGTGGTGCCCACTTTCGAGCTCACACTTGTGTTTAAGCAGGAGAACTGCTCATGGACTAGCTTCAGGGATTTTTTCTTCAGTCGTGGTCGCTTCTCATCTGGCCTCAGGCGAACTTTGATCCTGAGTTCAGGATTCCGACTGGTTAAGAAAAAGCTTTACTCCTTGATTGGAACAACAGTCATTGAAGAGTGCTGAAAAAGAAAGATTTTAAAGGTCCTTTTTATGATTGGGTCATAAAGCTCTGCAGCTGCCCAGTGAGGGTCATTTGTAGTCACCCCGCCTGCTCTCAAGGAGAAACCCCAAATTCAGTCATCTCCCTTCCTGGCTTCACATTTTCAGCAACCCAACTAGAAGGCTCATTTCATGGCTTTTGAGAAAGGACCCAAGAAAGTGTACATTTTTTTTTCCTATATCACAGGTTTTTACAAAATGACATGGAATAAAAGAAGCAATCCACTTTAGTTTTATATCTGACCTCGCTTTTTCCAGGTAGTCTTGCTAAGTAGACAGTAATCAAAATGTGCCTAATTTGATTTTTGTATGGCTTTTTTCTGTGTATTTTCAGAGTAATCCTTTCAATCACAGAAATTTAATGATGCTTAGTCCATCAAAACTTCCAGAAGCCCGCACCAATCTCCTGCCCCTACTCAAAAATGAAGGGTTCCTAGACTGGAGGGTAGAATTTAGTGGGTGAACTTCATTAAAACGTAACCCCATGCAAGAGTGAATAGGAAATGTCATAGCAAGAACAGAGCTACTTCACTGTTTCCTTGCATCCTCTCTATGCTTCTGTTACACAGGTGGCAAAAGCGTGTATTGATTGTCATTTCAGTAACCACAGTATTGTTTTAAATAATTTTATGGTACAATACAAGCTCAGCTTTTCTAGTTCTCAAGTGTTGAGTGTTATTTTTAAGCTAGAAAAGTGGAAAGTGTTAAACCGATTTTTTTTTTGCATATAATTGATTACTTTCCCTGTGAGTGCATGGTGAATGTGCATAGGGATAGAAAGTTCTCAGATCTACTTCCTTTCTCAATCATTTGATAATCTAGCTTCTTTTCATTATTACATATGCTTAACCTCAGATGAAGCATCTCACCATGTCAGTGTTACCTGGCTCTGGCCTCTCCTGGGAACTGAGGTGTTTCTCCTTAATCTGAATCTTCAAAGGAGATAGGTACATGCTACTTGTCAAGATGGACCTTCATGAAGTCTGTTTTGGCTAGGGATATCTGGTGGATAATACAGACTAGAGAATGAAAATCATGGGCTAGATAAACAGTTTTCTTTAGCCTTGGATACGTGTCCCTGGGGAACATGAAAGGTCTGATTTTTTTTTCTTGTGCCAGCTAGCTAGGTCCTTGGCCATTCTTATTTTATGTTAATGAGAGAATGTAGTCTCCACACTGCGGTATTCAATTCAGCAAGGCCCTCACGTTTTTACTGTAAATCACAGAGAGGGAGTTTATTCAGGTCTCCTGCCCAAATTATTAGTACCACCTTAAGTGCCTGAAGCCAGGGTTGTAGGGACAAACGTCTTCATCCTGACCTTACTCAAAAGCAGGTGTGATCCTGTTACTGATCTCATAAGTGACCTAAATTTCACTCTTCAAATCAGCAAACAGTCTAACAGATCCAGCTCTTCCCATGTTTGAAAAGATACAGCAAAGCCCATCCATATAGGACTGGGCCAGGATGAGTCAACCTTGTTTGCATGTCTGTTATTGTTGAGGCTCTAAAGGTCACCATGATGCTGTGGGCATGGCTTCTCTGGCTGGGATGTAGAACCCTTGTCCTTTTTCCACTAACAGTTGTCATTGAACCTTTGTCTTTTGTGCTCACAAAATGGTGATGGCTTATGGAGATTCTCAAATTAATATTCCTGTTAAAGGAAATTAAAGTTTGTCTATTTTTGACAATAAAGCATCATATATTTTTAATTCTGTTGTCTTCTTTGTCTTTAATGAGTTTATGCGATAATCACCTGGAAATATATCTGACAATATTTAAGGGAAGAGGACAAGACAATTACCCCCTTTTGACAAGGCAATTCGTTTCCTTAATTGTAATATTCCAATTGTATTTATCACATGTGTGCATGTATCAATAGTTATTTGCCTCATTTTTCAATTATGATAATACTTTTTATAGAAAAATATTAATAATTTGAGTTCCTTTGGCAACCACCTTTTTACAAACCAAAAATGATTGTGTAAACTTTTTCTGTAGTTTTTTCTAATGACCAAATGCAGACATATATAACTGTAAAATCAGTATACATTTTCATTTTCACTAGTTTATTCCCTTTGAACACATCTTTCTAATTCCACTATTATTCATCAATTTGAATTTCTAATCTTTTTCATCTGTCTTTTTGGTCTCCTTATTTATGGTCATAGCTTAGATTTCTCAGACTGCTTAGCCCACATTTAGTAAGACTTATTAAGTATTGGGCTCTATTCTAGGTGCTTTAAATATAAATTATCTCATTTACTTCTCCAAGAGCCCTATGAAATGAGACCACTGTTCTCTCCATTTTGTAGATAACTGACCAGACACAGAGAGGTTTAGTAACTTGCCCAAAGTCACCAAGTTATGCAGGAGAGCCAGAGTACTGTATAAAACCACGTCAACTCCGGGGGCTGAGCTCACCATGCTGCCACCAGGTGCCCAAGGAAGCACAGAGACCTTCTCCACATCACCAAAAGACTGGAAAACCTATGTCAGAAACACCTGCTTCCAAATTCAAAGAAATAATTATTAATGTGGTTTCCTTTCAGGTAGGAAAAATGAGGAAACTACTGTCAATATTCACCATTCACTGGAGCAGAGCTATGCTTAGAACAAAAAACCATTCAAATGAGGGTGCCTGGATGTCTCAATCGCTGAGTGTCTTTCTGCCTTCTGCTCAGGGCCTGATCTGAGAGTCCCACGGGAAGCCTGCTTTTCCCTCTGCCTATGTCTCCACCTCTCTTAGTGTCGCTCATGAATAAATAAATAAAAACTTTTAAAAAAGTACAAGTGTTTAAAATATATGCATTTTAGTCTTGGCACCTCCATGCCTATCTTGTACAATTGGCTTCGTTACCTTCTCATGTACCTTCAAAAAAAGGTATAATCTATCCCCTTTCTCCCCTAGTAGAGACCCTTAGCTAGTGTGTGTGATGGGCTCCTGAAAGAATAGTATGTTTTATTTTTCTCCTATTAATAGAAAGATAGTATTACAGTAATGGATTTAGTCTCCTTAATCTATTTCACCAATAACCAATTGTTATAATCTATACCCTCATAGAGTCAGCTTCAGGTTGCACTACTAACAGTTTCCTCTTTGCACAGGAGAAGGATGTACAAGTATAAAACTCTTAGGTCTATTACACTTAGTTCTCAATTATCTATATTAGTTTAAACAAGAGATGACAATAACAAAAGTCCAAGGCAGATTGGTGGCAGATGAGGAGGGAAAGGTGCATGGTGATGCACTGGGAGGAGCATTGTGCAGATATTCAGAACCCCAGACTCTGGACTAGACTCTACCATTGATTATAGACACACTACTCCATTGGATCCTTAGACAAAAAAAGGAGAGAAACTGTTAAGGATTTCACGGGATTTGCAGGGGCCAAGTATGGAAGTGATACACATGCTTTCTGTCTGTCTCCCATATAGAACTCAGTCACATGGGCCCATCAGTTGCAAAAAGTGCTGGGAAATGTGGGGGCACAATGTGCCCATAGGATGTGAGCTTGATGAACTGTTTCTGCCACACAGAGCAAAACAAGTTGGTCTATGAAATAATAAAGAGCTCAGACCCAGCCATAGACATATAAAGGAAGCTGATTTACAGCAGAATTGATGCTTTAGATCAGTGGGTAAATGGTGGTGTTTTTCAATAATTGGCACTATAAAATTGGCACATTTATCTACATGAAAAAATGGAATTGGATGCATACATATCGAGCATAAAATCCATTCCAGATTGATTGAAAAAATCAATGTGAAAGGGAAACTTTCAGAATACAATATAATTTTTATGATTTTGACACAGGGAAAGATTTCTTAAATAAGATGCAAAGAAATCACTGAAACTTATGTTTATCACATAACACTATAAAGAGAATGAAAACACAAGTCACGAACTGGAAGAAAGTATCTTCTATACATATAACTGAGAAAGAGTTACCAGAATATATTAAGAATCTTTTCAAAGCAATTAGAATAACGCAAACAACCCAAAAGAAAAAATATGGGCAAAAGCTTGAACAGGCACTCTACGGAAAAGGAAACCCATATGGCTGATAAGCATATGAAAAGATGCTCAGTCTAACTGGTAATAAGAGAAATGCAAATTAAAAGCACAACACACCAATGTGTAGATGTCCATTTTAGGGAGAAAATAAAAGATGAAAAGAGAGTTTAAAATCTGAAAAATCCAAACATTGGTGAGGCTATGGGAAAAAAAAAAAAAAAACTTACTTCAACATGCTCATCAATATAAGTATCTCTGCTCTCCAACATTAGTTTGTAGAGTTGAAGTTTAACATATTTCATGTGTCCTAAATTCCATTTCTAATTATCAAACCTGGACCAGTGTTCTTCAAATTTTTTGCTTGCTATACAGCTTTAAAATTTTTATAAAAATATACCTCCTGCCTGCCATGTTGTTAAATTGCCATCCAAAAAATCCATCCTCATTGTAAACATTGCAAATGATGTACCTTCCAACATGTAGTAAATACCAATTTTTTTAAATAAAATGATTATATCACCTTATTAAATGTTTCCTTGGGATATAAATAGCAGTGATTTAATTCTCAGCAACATCTATTTAGAAAACACAAAAATAAGGTCTTCACCAGGATGCAATTCTTCGGTGTTACTTTTTCTTTTTTTATGTGCCTTCTTTAAGTCTATTTTTAAACTGAATCTTACTTCATATGATATATTTTAAGCTTGAAAGTCTTATTAATATTTCCTCTCTACAATGAAAGCATATTATAAGTTAAAATTATATTTATAAAAATTTCCTAAGGCTTTAAATGCTAATGTTTTGGTTGAGTTAATTTTATAAATAATAATCACATACAAGTATCAAAACAATATTAAATATGTTTTTGAACTTTACGAATACTATTAAACACAAAAATACTATCTCTTAGTGAGATGACTCTTCTAAATTACTGGATTAACCTATAGATCAATACTGGGTTTTGCTAGAACTAGAGGATTTAGCATCATTTCTTATGTTTTGTTTCTACAGATATAAGCTCTGAGAAAACATATTTATATCAATAAGTAGATGGGAATTGAGGAGATTGGTTACTACAATATCAAATTATAATCAATCTTTGAGCTACTTCCAAGATATATGCCAAAATCACATAGATATTAATCACCAAAAATTATTTTCAATAGTCAATACACAGATAATTCAATTTTCTTTCAATATTGTTGAAATCAAGGGATTAAAAAACCACCTGACTTGCAGAAGGACTTGTTACCTAGATGTATTAGCTTGCTTAGGCTACCAAAACAAATACCACAGATGGGGTGGCTCAAAAAGAAATGCATTTCCTTTTTGTTGCTAGAAGTGTGAACTCAAGAGGCTGGCAGGACCAAGGTGTTTCTTCTGAAGGCATCATCCTTGGCTTGTGCATGGCTATCCTCTTTCTCAGTCTCCACATTGTCTTCCCTCTGTACTGTTTATGACCAATATCTCCTCTTCTTATAAGGGTATCAGTGGTATTAGATTAGGGATCACCTTAATGACCTCATTTAACTTAATCATCTTTTTAAAGACCCTGCCTTCAGTTACAAAAACATGCTGAGGTATTGGGAGTTAGGACTTCAACATATGAATATCAAGGGTACACAGTTCAGCCCATAAAACCAGACATTCAAATAGTTTGTTTTCTCAATACAATTCCACAGCAATATTTCAAACTGTTCCTTTGTTTGGTACCTTGCAAGTTGGCTTGTTACACCCCAAAATGCAGCATTGTGGTAAGACTCACCAACAGAGGCTCATCTTTTGTTAAAGTGGGGAAGAGGTTCGTTACACAGGAGATGAACAGTCAAGACCTACAACTCAGGTAGCTTCTCAGGGAGATCAGTTTTTAAAGAAGAGTGTTTATAGAGGCAAAGGTCTTGGAAATTGGTTCCTTTAAAACTATGCATACCTCACATCCCTCGGGGAAAATATTTGTATATTCTTGCACTCATTTCCCAATTTTAAGACTACTGCTTTGGACTCTCAAACTCATGTCCCAAGTGACTGACAGTTCAGCACCATACCATTTGAAGATAAGTGTGGAAACAACACAAATGTGCGCAAACATAGAGAATTGTGGTAAGTGAATTGGGTTATAGTCATAAATGGAATGTTAAACAACAATGAAAATGAATCGAATTTAAATCTCAAATGACCTGGGTGAAACTTTAAGAAATAATATTGAAGGTAAAAGAAATCACAAAAGAATAAATGGGGTGGGGGTCATCTGGGTGGCTCAGTGGGTTGAGCATCCAACTCTTGATTTCAGCTCAGGTCATGATCTCAGGGTGGTGAGATCAAGCCCCCCGTAAGGCTCTGCACTGAGCAGGAAGTCTGCTTAGGATTCTCTCTCTCCCTCTCCCTCTGCTTCTCTCCCCCCCCACTCTCGATCTCTCTCAAATAAATAAATAAATCTTTTTTAAAAAAAGAAGAAATGGGTTATTTTTCTATTTATGAGTGATAAAAAAACCAAAAGGTTTAGGGATACCAATATGTGTGGTTTATTTTTTAAAAGTCCAGGAAGGCCTCTGGGTGGCACAATTTGACTCTTGGTCTTTGGCTCAGATCATGATCTCAGGGTCTTGAGATCGAGCCCAGGGTTGAGCTCCATACTCAGTAAGGAGTCTGCTTGAGTTTCTCTCTCCTTCTCCCTCTATCCTTCTTCCCTATTTC